AGAGATTCGATTCCTGGGTTTCTATCAGCCGATGATTAAACATTATGCACCGATGTGGGATGATTTTTTTCGGGTTCGTGTTTAGTAGATTCCAAAAGGGTATCATCACATATTTCGAGCGATTTTTTTTTTTTTGAAAAATCATTTTCCTCAATGGTGACTCGAGGGAGAGTTTCAGTATTGGATCTTATATATACCACAACCTAGCATGCACCCGCAAACTCGAGTCACTCATCGATATGAGGTTGAAATTTTCACAATCAGTAGATAAGGTCGTCGGAAATCGAACAGAATATCTCTCGATCACAAAAGACCATGATATCATGTGAATCATCAGTTGGTCCAAATAAATTGTGTTGGTGTTGGTAGATGTTCAATAATAATGAATATTATACCACAACCAAACACTTATATATATGCAATGCACATTGCTCATTAACTACCATTCTAATGCTCCTCGATCTCTCTACATAACACCATGAAACCATCATTAGATTCTTAGGTTGCCGAGACTATTGCTCAGCGAAGCAGCAGCAGCTTCTTGGCCTTGAATTGCAGTCCTCAATTTGGACAAGTGATCCTCCGAGTTCTGTTGGGATGAATAGCTTTGAAAGCTATAATGAAATTCCTAATTAATTATCCAGTATTTTTCCATAATACGAAATTAAGATGGATAATTAATAAAAGGAATATTATGGAGATAATTAGGAATAATTATCTTAATTGATTATATTTTAATTATGGGAGTAATTATCTCCCTAATTAAAATATGACTTATTCCCAAAGAAAGAGGGAATATTCTGGGTTTTCTGCTCCTATAAATAGGAGACGCCCCAGACCCTCTAAACACACCTCAGAGAGCAGAAACACGAGACAGAGAGTGAGTTCATAGAGCTCCGGTTTTCGCACAAAACCGATGAGCAACAAAATAAGGATGACTGTTTTATCCTGGAGGCGACCGGCTGATAGTCTGCCGTGCGCAACGAAGGCAGTGCCGCGAACGTCTTAAAGAGAGCGACCTAGTCCGCGACTCAGCCAGATCGGTAACCCTAAATTTTCTGTTCGATTTCTAACAAGTTCTCATAATTAGCTTCGTCTCCAGCTTTACCGAGCATGACCTTTAACTCATCCAAGGCAATCGTCAAATCATCGAACCGCTGTACGAGCTGATCGCGCTGTCTGCTTAGCTGATTAACCATATCCAGAGCCCTAGCCAGGTCTCGAGGATGAACATTCTTAGGGTCGCCACCAAGTCCTCTGCTGAAACGACTCACGAGGGAGCTGCACTCCATTTCGATCCCTTCAAATTTTGCTTGAACCTCTCGGTACTTGGCTAGAAGCCGTTGCTTCAGGATATCATTGCCGCCGCCGGTTGTTTCTTTCGAGATCTTCTGGCCATTGTAAGGATCCGATGATGGGGAATCTAGTTCTGGGGTATCCATCTGCATGCATGCATGTAACAAACAAACAAAAACGTTGAAATGAAACCCTAATTGCACTACGGGGAGGGAGAGCAAGCTAATTAAACCGGAAGTAGTAGAAACCTAAATTAGGAGAGAGCGAGAGAGGACCATCATGTTTTTTTCCCCCAGGCTAAACCCTAATTGAGTAGTGGATCCTTGTCTAGAGTTTTCTGTTCTCCGGCCGTTGGAGATGTCTATTTATAGACGGAGTTGGCCGGATCTAGTGGTGTGCAATGATACGGTTTGGTACAGAATCGATCAAACTCATGAGAATCGCGGTTCATTAGTGAAATGCATATTAAGATTAAGGATTGGATCCAGATTCCAGTGGCGGAGCCACATGAGGCCAAGGTGGGTCATTTGCACCACCTTGGCCCAAAAAAAGTGGAGTAAATTTTTTTTTTTATCCACAAAAATGTGGAGTAAATTAATTTATATGATTGTTGATAAAATACAAGATCTCTATATTATTGTAGATAATTTTACGTAAAGTAATGTTTCATGATCTCTATTTAATTTTTAGTTCATATATTCGATAAGAGATTTTAGTATATACAAAAACTCGAAAAGTAATGTTATTACTTAGGCTTGTTTGTTGCTATCGGTTGTCATTCAAGTATTGAAAGAGCACTTATGCAATTAGCAAAGAAAAGAAATACTTCAGAATAAGATGAGTTGTGCAATCATGAACGATTTTTCGTTGTGATATCTTAACATCCCTCATAATTTGCTTGATGAATATATTTTAGAAATTTTTTCTAAACATGAACACATTCTGCAACATACGTCACCTTAGATAAATTTCTGGTTACGCCACTAATTAGATCAATATTTCATTCCGTCCAATTTGATCCGATCCAGATACCAATTCAAAAATGAGATCACATTATATGCAATTTGATATGGTGCGTTCTAAACATTGATTTTATCCTGTATGGACCAAAACGTTGCCCACCCATAGCCGGATATGGCAAGGATGAATCGAGTGGAAGGCGCCGGCCCACTTAGGGACAACCCAATCCAAAGGTGGAACGGATTCGGATCGCCGATCCGTTGGGTCGCAAATTCAGCCGTGGGGTTAGGGCAGTGGGTTAGTAGCTATGCTAGTAGTTAGAGATTAGGATATTATGCAAAATCGATCTCATATATTACCTTCTTTTCATCTCTCTTTTGTTGTTGCTAACCGATCGAATAGATCACGTCTCGATCTGCTCTGTTATGGAGAACGTGGCCCTAGTAATGGAGGCCCGGATTGGATTAGAATTGAATGAAGAAATCAATGAGAAGGTACGGTTGTGGACCTTGTGGTGTTGAATTCTTGTGGTTTTCACTATGATTCTGAAAGAATATCAAATTTGAGTTAGCTTGGTTACTTAATTTTTAGTAATCACGGTGGCTACCTTAATCTACACCATTCATTATTTCTTTTTCACCCTAATTTTAAATTAACGATGAATATTATATTAGGGTAATTTTGGAATTGAAAAATATACCACACCTGTAGGGATGGCAATGGGGCGGGTTTGGGGCGGGTTTGTCTAAACCATCCCCATCCCCATCTTCAAATATCCAAACCCATACCCGCCCCATACCCATGCGGGAAATGTTTTGCAAACCCATCCCCATACCCGTGGGTTTCGGGTACCCATGGGTAATACCCGTACTCATACATCCAACATTATTATACCTAAAACTTACAAGAAAAGTTTTAAATATAACTCTAAACGAACCAATTATATCATGAAGTCAACAAAACACGGTCATTTTCTTAATACGGTTCAAAGTATATGATCCTAAAACATCAATTAATACATAATATAGAGTATAATATTTTTCAAATTATTATCTTCTAACTCTTATACATCTACTAAGTAATAATTAACTAACATAATCTTGTAGACAAGGGGAAAAGTGAAAGGAGAATTAATGGTCACTCAATTGCATTTCTACTATTTATTTCCTTGAGTTATCCTCATCACCATTGATAGATTACAATTTAATCCACATATTTTTTTTTTTTATATGTGAAGCAATTCTCTTGGTGGGGCGGGTATGGGTATGGGTATGGGGCGGGGGAGGTCAAAACTATACCCGCCCCATACCCATCAAACTTTTTGCGGTTTTTACCCATACCCGCCCCATACCCGGTCAAAGCGGGAATTCCCCGCGTTGACTGGGTCGGAGGCGGTCGGATACCCGCGGTCATGGGTTTTATTGCCATCCCTACACACCTGATTACTCTATAAATTATATCCAAACCCTACCCTATTGCAACCCGCCGCCAACCACCAAGCTCCCTCCCCGTAACCTCACGCGACCCTCATCCCTCCCGAGAACCTCCTCCACCGCCGGTCGGCCTCCCCTCCACCGCCCTCCTCCCTTTCCTTGATTTCGTTAATACCTGTTGTTGGTGGCGTGTCGAAGCTGGCAGATCCGAGCCCGATGTTGTTTGGAGTGTCGATCGGCGTCAATCGGATGAGGAGAGATGAGGAAGACACTGTGGCAGCGGCGGAGGACGAGGGTTTGGCAGAGGTGGAGGAAGGAGAAGACGACGAATGACGGGGGAGGAATCCGATGCGGCGAGAGGTTAAAAGGCCGCTGATTGTAAGTTGCTGTTACTTTTTACCTCTCCTATGCATTTTCTATCTCCACTCTCCAGCAAAGCACTTCTCTCTATTTCTCGTACTCGTAACTTGGTTTCCAGAATTGATGCTCTTGGAATGGTATGTTTTTTTTAAATGGTAGTCATTTTTTTGTAGTGATTTTTTTTAAATGGTAGTTATTTTTTTCGTAGTGGTAGTGTTATTGTCGTATTGGTATTGTTTTTGTCGCATTGGTATTATTTTTGTCGCATTGGTATTGATTTTGTCGCATTGGTATTGCTTTTGTTACATTGGTATTGATTTTGTCGCATTGGTAGTGATTAAATCTGCAATGGTATTGATGTTTTGTGAAATGGTAGTGTTTTTATTTCTTGAATGGTATTGATGTTTTGTACAATGGTAGTATTTTTTTAATGGATTGGTATTGATTTATTGTTTTGTTGTTGCAGTGGTATTAGTTTGGATGAAAGAAATCAAGGAAAGATTGAGAAAAAGAAGGAAGAGAGATCTGGCTGAAAAATTGTGGAAGTGAGAGAAAGAGAGAGAGAAAAATTGTATTTAATATATTTATGTAATTTCCTAAAATGTAATTTATTAAAATAAGTCATTAATAAATTTTTTGTTATACCCAATTTGCCCTTAGTAACCACGATGATTACTATAAAATAGTAATCACCGTAACCTGTCCCAATTATATTAGGTTCATTGCTGAAAATTTTAATTGATAACGATAAACTTTGCTCTTAAGTATTGTGTTAAAGAAGAGTTGATTGAGACCAGTAAATTGATAACAAAATATGTATCTATGTTGACAAATCACAAAGTAAACAAACATTAGGTTTGCATAATGTTATGTAGTGTGAAAAATAAAAGAGATTTATCTAAACAATCAATCGAATTTCTCAATAGTGTAAAAGAAAAGAGAAAAAAAAATCTTCCAATGCTAGAATCCAAAAATATCATTTACAATTTCATCGTAAACGTACACATCTAATTTCGTGATCCGTCCAGAAACAAATTATCATTTCCCGGATTACAAATTCAATATCAAGTTTTTAACCACTCATATTTCTCACTCTCGTTTAATCTAAATGTTGAACATTCCTGCTCACAAAAGCAAAGAACAAAAGTAAAAGAAAATTAAAAATAAAACGAAGAGTATGTATATGAAAAGAGGAGAAAGGTAAAGAATTAGAATGAATTAGAATTAAGGAAGAGAGGTAAACTAATTAATTAAACCCATCCTCCTAAATTAATTTTATGTCTAATTTCTACAACCAAACACTCCCTAACTCTTTTTTTTTTTTCTTCCTTTTTTTGGTAACGTCTACCAGATTTTGGCGGTGGAATCACATTTCTGCGAGACAGTCTTCGCTTTCGCCGTTAGCTTATCCACCGTCAACTCACAGTCAACTTTCACGGTAACCGTCCACGACTTCACAGCCCCCAATCTAAACTTCACCGGCGCCGTCGCCGTCAGCCGAAACGGCACCGCGCCTCTGTTCTCACCGTCGCTCAACGACCTCCGGACGGCGCCCGTGAGCACGATCCCCTCCCCCTTCAACACCGTCTTGAAATTCGTCGACTTTTCCGTCCCCTGCTCGAAAACCGGGATCGAGCCGGCCGCCAGCTCGATCCCGTTGTAATACACGGCGGCGGAGCTATCAGGCTGGTAGAGCATCTCCATCTTCTTGTTCCTGTTTTGAGCCGCGACGGCGAGTTCGAATCTCGGTGAGATCGGCCCCGACGCCGAGTTGAACCCGCTTATCGACGCCGATTGGATCACGAAGCGGGGGGATTCTGGCCGGACGACGAGGCAGAAGACTCCGACGGCGGTGGCGATGAGGAAGAGGAAGGCGGCGAAGAAGGAAATGGACGCACAGAGCCAGAGGCGGGCTCCGCCGCCACAGCAACGGCGGCTGCGTCCTCCGCCGGGGTTCTTGTTTGTCAGCTGCTCGAATCGCTTGGCGTTCTCCGGCGGTGGGACCTTGTAGATCGTGTCCTTCGGAATCTGGATGACGTAGGTTCCCGGCGGCGCCGGGAGGGCGGCTTTGAGGAGCTTGGTGGTAGGAGAGCCCGGATCCATCGTGCCGGTGGTGGTGGTGGTCTGGGTGGAGCAGCTGGTGGTGCGGGAGGTGGTGCGAGTCTGGTCGGTGGAAGTTGAGTATCGCGGCGGGGCTCCGTCGGCGTCCGCCATTGCTGTCGATGATGGAGGGAGAGGCAGGGTAGAGGGAAGAAAGGAGTGAACTCTGCAGGGAAAATGAGATTAAGAATTAGAAATGAGGTTTCGAAAAGGATTAAAAATTAAAAAAACAACTAATTAGGAGTTTTTTTCCACCTTTTTGGCGTGTAATAGTGAGGGTTTTTGGTATATTTGCCAACTGTAAATCATAACAAAGATTGGAATATATTATAAAACTAATTAGGATGCTTAATATGAGAGCAAGAATAACGCTGGAGGCGAGTATTGTTAGGAATATTTAGCTTTCATGAAAGAAATAAAATAATGAATCTATTCGTTAATTTTTTATTAACAGTTTTTTCATGATTACATTTTTAGTAGTATAGTGAACGATTTCAGACTTCATATCATTCTCGAATCAGATGAATCAAAGATTTTTAATTAATTCGATTATATACTTATCAACAAAACATGTTAGACAAGTATATATTTAATTGTTGATGGCATCATATGATTGAAAATCATACGAGTTTATAGTAGATGTTACTACCTCGACATTGTCACGTGTTCTTCTAATTTTATTGTTAGATTATGTAAATAAATAAAAATTAACATGATTGTTTCTCAATTCCCTATAATAAATCAATAAAGAAAAAAAAATCCTTTGATTTGCTCAATTTGTGATGGAAATCACGTCTCAAATAAGTAGCTAGTTGACAAATTCTCCTTTTTATGGAATAAAAACTTCAAACTGTACTCATTGGACACAATTGTTATTATGTATTTTATTATCATATGAAAATCTGTACGCTAAACAAGAATATCAAACTCCGAATAAAATACCACATGGAAATCGAGGACCGTTGTGGTATGGAGGAACGGTCATTTCTTTCTTTCTCAGGGAATAGTGAAGATATAGTAAAATTTTATTTTATGTTGTAAGCAAGCTGGCTCTGTAATACTAACAAAACTCAGAAGCCTAAGCCCTAAAAACAAACTACAAAATATGGAATTGTTGATTACTGTATAACTGAAATTTCTTTCGACGTGAATCAAGTGATTTTTTTTTCTCGAGAAAATTAAAAATCGTTTGATCGTTAGGTACGAGTTTCAGCCTCTCTCGTTCCATGATTGTGACCCATTTAGCTGCATACCTTGTAAACTAATGAATTATCTGATAATCAAAACGTTTTTAGTGACCAAATTACACCAGTACTTAGATATTGCAACGGTCTGGACCTTTTTAGCCACCGCAATCCTGTCACCAACATCATTTGCGACGACCCTAGCTAAAGTTGTTTTTGCAATGAAAACCCCTGTTTTTTCTATTCTGCAGAAACAGAGACTAGCCCGCTATAGTTTCGATAGAAACCACTGGATTAACATTTCTAAGAGATTGATTAGTTCAAACCCACATAGGGAAAGCAAGAAAATTGTATGCATACCTGATCAGAAGTTCGCCGCCGGCCGGTGGAGGATTGGTTTCTATGCGTCAGTAGAACTGGTGTCGCGCCTCCGTAACTCTCTGCTTTTGTTTGCTCTGTTGTTTAGCAATGTGGGATCGGTTTTGGCAAGATGAACAAGAAGAGAAAATGGAAGGATGAACAGAGGAAGAGAAAGAAAGACGGAGTTGGGATGAGCGGGAGAATCAGAGAATGGGAAGAGAGAGGGACAAGGAGAAGAGAATGGAACAGAAAATTTGGATTTTCCGGATTCATATAAAAACGGATCTGATTTGGTGGTTGGGTGACGGAAGAAATTAACTTGGTGGAGTCCAGATCATTATTTTAATGCCGAAACACTTGATCCTATGCAGACCTTTTACAACTGTGGATTTGCGGAGCGCCGGAGTTGAAACGGAAAACGAATATATTGTAGAAAACAGGGGACAGACAGACTGGGTGTTTCTTGGATATGTAGCTTATTGATTAGCCCACATAAAAAAAAATTCTTCTCTTTCACATTTGACTACTTCTTTTCACAACAATGACGAAGTTTCTCAAGTGACATGGAATCGTTACTATACGCAAAATGTTAGGAATTATGTTGGAAGTTGTAGGGACTCGAACTCGTGTTATCGTGAGAGTTGCATCGATGGTTGATTCAAGTAAATTGAATAAGAGAACCAACTCATGTTGAGGATATTAATTATTTAGTCAAAAATAATTAATTCCTTGTCCTCCAAGTCCCTTGTTTCCTTGTCCTTGTCAAAGAAGGAAACTTGGTTGTCATTAGGGTTTTAACCCTACGTCTATCTCTATATAAGCTTAGCTACGAGATTGTCGTAAGCAAGCCGTCACAATGTAGTCCTCACGTAATAAAACGTCAGTCGTGAGCTCGTTCCGAGCTCACCGTGGATTAGTCTCGATCAATCAATCGATCGAGGATACCACGTAAAATCGTTGTCTTTTGTGTTCGTTTCAATTCCGCATCATCAAATTCTACATGGTATCAGAGCAAAACTCGATCCTTTGTTAGGGTTTTGTGCTTCCGCCACTCTCCGTCTTTTGTCTCTTCGTCTTCGTGGTGTGCGGAGACTCCGTCTTCCCGACGTCTCAATCGTCCCGACGTCGCTATCCTCATTCTCGGCTGCCGTCGTCCGGAGGGCCGATGTTCATTCCGGCTTCCAACTCTGTCTGCGTAGCTGTCGGTGCCAGTGCCATACGTCGGCCATCAATTGTCAAGGCTTTGATCTACCGCAAGTCCGCGTCGGTTGCGTCACCGCCTTAATCAATCAGTCACAAGGTGCGAGTCACAGGATCTCCCGCGCTCCGTCCCGTCCGCTGCTCTACTCCACCAGCCAGATTCGTCATCTCCTAAGTCATCGTCTGTGCATCGTTGTTAAGTGGGCCGCGTTGCAAGGAGGAATAAGTGTTTTTACTGCTTTGTTTCGTGGTTTGGTTAATTGTGTTTGGACACCGATTGCCTCGCATTCTTGGCGAAACCCACCAGAATGGCAGTAAACTTTTGGTCGGACACTTCTGTAGCAGGTGGGAAGAAGAAATTAAAGAAAATTCCATCGTGATTCAGCCCTCGCCAAGTTAATCGTGCCATCGTCGTAATCAGTCTTTTGTACGTGTTGTCGTTTGGTCAATTAATGATTGGAGATTGGTTTGTGGGGAATTGGCGTTTGCACAGATATCATTGCCCGCTGTCGTTCATGGTGATCCCAGCCGAAGATTTTGATCTCCCTGCTCACGCTGCTCTTCTTCGTTACGTCCGCGCTGTCCGCCTCCGACGTCCCATTCAGTCCACAAGAAGACCAGCTTCACAGGCTCAAATCCGGCGCCAGTCAACCGTTTTCAACCTCTCCGTTCACAGGCAATGGTATTCCTCCGCTGACGAGGTCATCAGTCCGACCTCCCTCGCCAGTCCCGTCGTCCTGTTGAGCAGCGCTGCTCTTGCCTGCTCGTTCGTCTTCTCAGCTAAAGTTTATTCAAAGTCCACGAATCAGGGTTTGAACCTTTGGTTTTGTGATTTATTGTGGCCTCCGGATCGTCTATTATTGGGTTCAGACTTGGTAGCTAGTCGGAAAAAAAAGGGCAGCTTGTCCATTGCGGGGTTGGTCTCCATCAACGTCACGTGGAACTCAAGAGTTGCACATGGGTAAACACTTATCAAGCTTAGTTCAACGGAAGTCAAGATCATTGGTTTTTGCATGTGGTTCTGTTGGTATTTGCACAAGGATTAACGTGAAAGTTAATGTCAAAGCTTTCCCAGCGCTTGTGTGTCCTGGCGCTTCCTTTAATTTGTGTGGTACTCTACAGTTGGGAAGTGGAAGGTGGAGTTTTATCTCACCACAAGTCATGTTGCGGTTACATCGTCGCAAGTCATGCAGTAGTTGGGGTTGAGGAGATAAAACAACTTTCATCAACAAAGAAGTTCAAGTTATAAATCGAGGCAGTCACGATCACAGAAGCGATCGTCCCCTTGATGTTCAGAATCAGGTAATTTTCAGTCTCCAGTATTTTTATTTTCAAGCTGGGCATTCACGTCGTTCATGCGTCAGCTTGAGGGGGAGAATAGGGAGTCAAGTCGTTCAGGAGATGCAGTCAACCATCTGCACCATATCATACGGATAGACGTAGTCAATCGTCTCCGTCAAGTCATTCAAGAGGCGCAGTCAACCGTCTCCGTCAGGTCGTTCAAGAGACGTAGTCAACCGTCTCGTCACGACGTTCAAGAAGATGCAGTCAACCATCTTCATCAGGTTGTTCAAGGGAGAGAGTCAGTCGTCTCCAAATCAGCCTCGTCCGAGATGTTGTTCAAGCTTGTCATGCTTGTTCGGCACATTTCCTTTTTCAAGCTCGACATTCTTGTCACTCATGTCTACGCTTGAGGGGGAGTGTTGAGGATATTAATTATTTAGTCAAAAATAATTAATTCCTTGTCCTCCAAGTCCCTTGTTTCCTTGTCCTTGTCAAAGAAGGAAACTTGGTTGTCATTAGGGTTTTAACCCTACGTCTATCTCTATATAAGCTTAGCTACGAGATTGTCGTAAGCAAGCCGTCACAATGTAGTCCTCACGTAATAAAACGTCAGTCGTGAGCTCGTTCCGAGCTCACCGTGGATTAGTCTCGATCAATCAATCGATCGAGGATACCACGTAAAATCGTTGTCTTTTGTGTTCGTTTCAATTCCGCATCATCAAATTCTACAACTCATGTATTAGCAACAGTGTGATCGAAAATTGAATTGCAAAAGGTAAAAGATGAATAACCCACAAATCATCTTCATTATTCCAACCATACCCAAACTCAACTGCCAATTAAAATTTAAAAGCAGTCTACCGTAAAAGAAGATTGTCAGATGAGCATAAGATGCATGAAATTATGTTAGTTTTCGAGCATCATTCTACCGTTTTACTCTATAATAAGATTTGAATTCGTCACACCGAACTTAGATCCTCTTCTAGCTAGCAAAAATTTAATAATGTGACTATCAAGGTCCAATGCAGTAGTTAATTTTACTTACCATCCACATGTTGAGAGATGAAACAGTCGAAACTTGGGATTGCGTGGCATTTTATTTTCAGAAGTTGGTGGCAGAGAAGAAACAGTCAGATCCAAGGAGGAGGAAATCTGTTGGTGGAGTCGCAGATTTTTGGGGAAATATCGAAGAAATCTTTCTTGGAGAGTTGGCATTTGGCATCACACGGTTCCTTAAACAACATTTAGTATGACATCATTCCCACTACCTAGCTTTCACATATCCCATTTTTTTAAATTTAATAGGCCAAATTACACGAATGGTCTCCGAGTTTGGGTCGGGTAACAAATTGGTCTCTTCTTTCGACCGAAAACTTTCGAAAGGGGAAAAAGTTGTATATTTTCATAACTGTAATTTAATGTACCAGTGATTGAAGATGGCAATGGTCGACTTGTTCAGAGTCCAAAAGAGTTTTTGGTTTGCATGGTATCGGAGTTTTCTGTGACCAATCCCAATGATCCCCATCTGTTATCTTAAGCACATGGTGTCTGGACCTGTGCAAACTTCAAGTCTATATGAGTGACTTTTCGTTTGAGATAGTATGTTAGTAAATGATAAATGATCCATAATTGAACCAATACGAGCTAGGTTAGAGCGAGTAATGCAAGTTGGGCTCGATTATATTCCCTAACCATGATCGGTGAGACAGAGAATTATTAGGTTCAACGAGTTTGGTTCTATAATTTGGATAATTCTAGATGAGAATTTTGATTGGGCTGGAGTTTAAAAGTTTAGTGACCGATTTATCAATTATCCTAAATCTTAGTGACCATTTACTTAATATGTTTAGTTGTGATTTGTTTATTTATCCTCATTGCGAAACACATATTCAAATTTCAAACAGCTGTTGAATACAATTTGTTTGGGGAAACCAATATCGGTTTTGAAATATTGTTAAGAAGTTAGGCGTTCCATTTTACAGAGTAAATCATATATATATATATATATATATATCAATGGTGGTTGAAAGTCCGATAGGTTAGGCTTCTCCTGTTACGCCCTTGACTATTTTGATGAACTAGCGGATTCTCTGTTGTGAATTATAGCGGAGTTCAATTGATATAAGTACTCAATACTTCAATTTTTCTTTGTGTCCGGTGTTTAATAACTCATGGGAATGTACTCTACTAAGGTATTGAGAGAAGGGGAAGATCTCTTTTCATCACCTAAAAATTTGAGAAAGCTCGAACTAAAGATCCTTTTAGAAGTGATCTCGACCACCTCACCTATCTTATCTTTTACGAAAAATTTATCTATTCAAATTGTTTGAATAAGATCCACATTTGTCAAAAGGAAAAGGGTCTCTTAGATCCATCTACTCATGAATCTTAAGTTCCTGCATAATTTACTAGATATGGACATGTTTCTAACTTGTAAGCATTTCATATTTCTAAAGTTGCTAATTTAGATTTGTCCGTCACTTGCCCCCTATGGAGAACATAGCTTTCGTAAAATCGTTCAATTGTTAACTTTCAATAGTACATTCAACTAATTCAACCACGTATTTCGAATTTTCAAGTACAAACCCTAAAACGAAAAAATCTAGGCGTCCAACAGAAATACAGAATGTGAGACTTTAAAAGGGTACACGTATACTTAGGAATGGCAATGGGGCAGGTCCGGGGCAGGTCCGGGGTACCCAGACCCGCCCCGTGGCAGGTCGGGTCCAGGTCGGGTAATTGATCACGGGTCGCGGGTCGGGACAGGTCGATCCAATGGGTATGCAATTTATATGAAAAACATTAGAAATATTCGTTATTTTTATTATAAGACTACGAAAACAAACAATATTATGACAATTGTAGTTAAATTATTGGAGAAGTTGAGATTTTCACTAATTTACAACTTTATTATAGCTAAAATATGATGCAATAAAAGAAAATTCTAAGTAATTTGACTAAGATTACATGTGATTTAGACAAGAACGGGTCGAGAATGGGACGGATCAGGGGAGGTCGGGTCGATGAGACTACCCATACCCGCCCCGCCTACGGGGTGCGTCGGACCCGCCCCAAAACAGGTCAAACAGGTCGGGTAAAACGGGTCAGGTCGAAATTGCCATCCCTACGTATACTCCTTTTCTGTCAACACCAAGAGGGGCAGCCGGGCCGCGTCCGATCGTGACCGGAAGAAAAGAAAACCCGATGGAGCACGCCAGCCTTCATTGGGTTTAGTTTTCTCGCTTTCTGTCTCTGCCAAACGCGTCCCAGGGCGAGCTGAAGGCTACTCGGCAAAAGCCGTTACAGCTAGCTAACAGCTAAGAACTAAGAAGTTCGTTCATTCCCGCCACGTTACGGAGGAAAAACAACGTACCCATATTAAGCATTGTTTGGCAGTTGTCATTTGATCGCCGCATGGAAAACAACATATCCTTTTCCCCGTTTCTGGTAATATGAAAATCTCAATAAACTTGTCCACGACGAAGGGACTCAAAGTGCCATGCTTGCACAGAAGAAACAGAACTTCCATCAGAGGCACTAACAAATCACTAAAATGAGATTGAAGGAACCAAACATCCTGCAATTAGTGGTAGTAATGAACAAACCCACTATTCACAAAACCAAACATCCTGCAATTAGTGGCTAGGAGTAGTAGTGGTAGTCCAAGGAATAATGATATCTACTCAATCAGCACAAAACCAGAACCCAGAAAGGAAGAAATGATCAAAACCCACTATTCACAAACCAACAAACAAAACAAGCAGCTGTACTGCTATTTCACAAACAAATCATATGCCTGCCTCTAAAGCAAATCAAAAGAAGATGCTAAGGAAGAAAGATGGAGGAGAAAACCAATAAATTTGGGGGGTTAGCAACAATGGAAAGGGGGGGAAAGGGGTCAGAGTGATCATGATTACTTCTGAATCGAGATGGGTGTTTTTTCATGAAGCTATGGCTGACAGATCTTCAAAAACTGTCTTCATGTCAGGCCTTTCTGCAGCAGATGCCACGCACCTAAGTCCGACGCTTAGCATTCGGTTGGCAACTCTGAGTGACTCCTCTCTATTAGGAGTGTCGATTAGCTGCTTATCGAAGCACTCGTTGCCACGGCTCTCTTCGGCTAATACCCGGACCCAATCTGTCAAATCAACTACTCCATGTTCCCATGGGACAATATCTGCAGAGCTTTTACCGACTAGGAGCTCCAGCAGAATGACCCCAAACGCATACACATCGCTGTTCAGCGAAGGGCAGGGCTTGCTCGAACTGGCAAACTCGGGAGGTCTGTATCCAAGAGCACCGGCATTCAGAACTTGCTCTGCTGTTCCTGCTGATGTCATTATCCGGTGGAGGCCGTAGTCGGTCAGCATGGGTTCCAACTGTGGAGGTTGTAGTAAAATGTTTGTTGATTTGAGGTTGCCATGAGGCATTGCTTTCTGGTTGTGGATAAAGCTCAGGCATCGACTGATACTAATCGCCACCCTCAGCCTTTCGGGTAGTGATAAAAATGGCAGCTTTCTTTGCTCTGCATCAGAAGCTACACAATGGGGAAATATTTGACATCTCCTTCAGAAAAAAGCCACCAAAACTAGAACAAAGAAAAAATGCAGAACTTTCTGTCAGTAAATGAGGAATTGGAACTTACCCTGAAGATAAAGGCCTAAACTTTGTGCATCAAAGTAGCTATATATAATCATCCTCTCGTGATCTTTCGGACCCCAATAGTAACCCACTAGAGGGACGAAATTCGGGTGCCTGATGCTCCCGAGTTTCTTAACTTCCCTCCCAAATTCCTTTCTTCCTTTGGATATCCCTTCCTTTAACCACTTCACAGCTAGGACAGCACCAGAATCGAGTGTTGCTTTATATAGAGTTCCGTGGCAACTCCTGCCAATAACTTCTGCTGGAGCCCGGGAAAGTTCCTCCGCAGTGAATGCTAATGAGCTATCGAACAGATGAAGATCCCCTGCCAATTTGTCAGGGGAGTACACCTTTAGCATACCGGGACTCTCAGGAGAAAGATGGCCTTTAGAAGGGGATGGCTGTGAAGAACAAACGGAAATGGGAGAAGATAATCCTTCCTCCTGTCTGAAATGTTGAGGACTGTCTCTGGGCTTCTCAAGGGTTGATGATGGTTCACCATTGTCATATGCAGTAGATTGCAGCTTGGATGTAGTAGGCAGCAATGAGGACCGACTTTGTACACCACGTTCATTTCTGACAATACCTTTTGAAGTTCCCATCCTAAGATTCTGAAACTGAGTCTTGGAATGGAAAGCTATGCACAAGATGAATAAAATTCCACATGTAACTACAATCCCCACAATAATTGCAGCTTTAATAGCCGGTCTTAGTCGTGATCGGTGAACTGGAAGAGTCACACCTTGAGAATCACCCTTTGGTGACATTGGAGAGATGGAAATTGTCAACAAGGAGTTCCCTGGGAGAAAAGACGATTCAGGGAAGCGCTTCAAGTTGTCAGGAATAACACCAGACAGGTTGTTGGAAGATACATCGAGCCCTTTTAATCCATCTGGAATTTCTGATGGGATGTCGCCATTCAGACCATTATGAGAGAGGTTCAGATACAGCAACTTATGAAATTGACCAATTTCTGGAGGTATACCACCATTTAATGAGTTGTGAGAAAGATCAAGAGATGTCAAGCTGACATTGTGGCTTCCTTGAACCTGTATGGGACCGGTCAGATTGTTGGTCGACAGGTTGAGATCAGTTAACACTGTTGAAGTCAACAAATCAGGGAGGATGGACCCAGTGAGAGAATTGAGGCTGAGGTCGATTTCTTTGAGTCCCGGGTATGTCCCCAGGACTGATGGGAGTTCACCATGTATTGAGTTGTTTGATATCTTGAGTGAAGTCAGGTTCGAGAAAGGAGAGGTTTGATTCGGCAGAGTTCCTGTTAGTGAGTTTGAGCTCAGATGAATGATCTCCACGTTGTTTCCCCAGTTCTGGATTCTCGACACGTTCCCTGAAAACATGTTGTTGCTCAGATCTATGATAGAACAATGTGCAACAACAGCAGGCAAGACACCTGAGAGGGAATTTGAAGACAGGTTAAGGTTCCTCAGAGTAGTAGAGCTAATGCCTCCTATTGTACCTGCCATGAGAAACATAACATGTTGAGTTAGAGGAAGGGAAGTGAATCACAGTTGATAAGATATGATTAGGTGTGATATGGAGAACCAAGTGGCATATGGAGCTGATTATGCAACATATAGAAGAAAAATTGAAATAAGGAAATGGTAAATTTAGACTCTAAATCACCATTACATGAATTTAAATGGATAATACCACAAGTCTAGATATCTCTTAGCCTCAGCACCTAGATTGTTACCAATTCTATGGACATGTTCATAGGCTTGCAATTTCTGCAGAAGCTTGTGATAAAGGAGATAGTACTCACTTCCAGAGGGTAAATCAAACAATGACTAGCTGTTATCAACTGATATACATTTGCAATTCTGGAAACCTAAGTACATCAAGGAAGTTCTAAGCGACTTGGTCTACTAAGTATAGCTGTAAGCGTGCACATTGTAGTTATGACTTATGACTTCAGAGGACAGGGATTCAGCTAAAATGTACCTTCTAGCTTATTATTGCTGAGATCCAGCTCAGACAGTAACATCGAACTTTGTTGCAGAAGACCTCCTGGTACAGTTCCTGAGAACTTATTTCCTCCAAGCTTAAGCCTTTGAAGAGAGATAATAAGTTTGAATGGAGGTATTGTACCAACCAACCCATTGTAGGTGGCATCAAAAACCTCCAGACTACCAAAAGATGGTATTCCATGAGCAAACAATTCACCGTTCAACGCGTTATAGCTTATATTTAGATATTGAACCGACGACACAAAGCTAGGACTCCCGAGTTCCAAATCCAATGAACCCAAAAACTGATTGTTGCTCAGATCAACATGAACCAAGCTACCTAGTTCATAGAACAGATTCATGACGTCCCCAGAGAGGCTATTACCATGCAGATCCAAGTACTTCAAAGACTCAAGATTGCGAAAACCCGAAGGAACCATTCCTTGGAAGTTGTTGGCAGAAAGATTCAACGTGACCAAACTCTTCAAATTCACAATGTCAAAAGGTACAACACCCTCAAACAAGTTGTTGGATAGATCCAAGAATTGAAGGGACTGGAATGAACCGACATCCGAGATAGTACCACTGAAATGATTGCTGGAAATGGACAGGTTGCTCAACATTTTCAGACCGGAGATCACTGGGAAACTGAAATTCCCACCTAAGCCCATCCCATTCAGATTTATTGAAGCCACACTGCCATCATTGCACACAATCCCATACCAATCCTTGGGACAACCATTGGAAGCCACAGATGTAGAATCCCACGACTCGAGCACTCTCCCCGATGAGTCCTCAACAATACCCTTCCGGAGCTCCAAGAGGGCATCGAAATCAGATTGCCCGAGCGCAGTCACCACCAATAACAGCAATACCACCAAACATACCTTCTGCATTTTGCTTCAGCACCAATATGAAATATAAACCCTCACCAACAGTCCCTCAATTGTTGTAGCAGGAATGCTACTTGTGAGGAAACCTTAAATAAGCATATAACATCTGGGCGGACTACCTTGTAAGGAAATGAGAGACAGCCACCAATCGTCTAAATCTTTTAGGGAAGAAATGGCAAGATTCAAGGTGTACATTTGGGGAGCTAAAGATGGCAAAAGTAGCAAACTTGGTAAATGTCTACATGCTACAGCTCAAAAGATTTCCAAAATCAGACCTTTTTACCTCCAACTGGTAAGCACAGCGAAATCAATCCTAAACCAAACCCAAATAAACCAATGCAGGGAAAGGGCAAACTGCCATATACAAACACGACTTCTCCCCAAGAGCTCACGGGACAGAGTATCCTTCACCAATCTAAAACAGCAAAAGAAGATGAATCGAACCCAAGTACGCAACAGTGGTGAGAAGACCAAAAAGCAAGTCAAACCCGAATCTTTCTCTATCTTTCAGCGATGCCCCCATAAAGAAATTGAAGAACCTGAGAGGAACTGGTGGACCAAAACGGCAATGGAGATGATGGTTTTGCTCGGCCTGGAACTGGGAGTAGCAGTGGAAAGGGGCGGTAAGGAGGTGAAGCAGAGAGCAAGAGAATTGAAGAAGGGAATTTGGGGCGAGAGGAGGAAGGGAGTGAACGGAAGAAGTAGTACAGATCAGAGAGAGATGGAGAGAGAGTAAAGTAGGTGGACTCTGGACTGGTGGAGTGGTGGTGGGGTTCTACAAATTTTAATTGATTTTGGCCGATTGTGAGAGAAACTGTGGGGGAAAAGGAAAATACAGTGCAGTGCAATTACTCGGTTGGAAAATGACAACTGGGGACTGCGGCTGGGTTAAATCTGAGTGAGAAAGATTCACTTTTCTGATCAGTAACGACTTGGTAGTTACTTACTACGAAATACAGTTCTGATTGAGCACAAATAACAAAAATGTGGGCAATGGGAAATCTTTCCTTCTAGAATATGGATCTAACTCATTGAAAGCATCTACGTGTACAACCGATTTAACCTAAGTAAATCGCCAAGCAATGGGTTAATAGCTCTCCTCGTGTTACTTTCGAGTGTTTTCTCGACACATTATAAGTACACACATCATAATCTCGTATTACATATTCAATCGAAGCAGTCAATTTGTCAGCAATCATCGCCGTTAGTGAAGATGATGGTGAAAGATTTGATAAAATTTTTCACACGAACCAAACTAATATTTGTAAACTCGAAGTAGCAAAGTTTAATTTAATAAGAAGGTAACCCCAATAAAAAATTTCATCCATCACGATAAACTCTCTAGTCGATAGATATGCTCACTGACGAATGGACTACGCGATTTAAACTACTCGCTGATAGGGGTGAACAAACACACCCGCAAACCGACCCAATCGTCCAACCCGACCCAACCCACCCGTATTTATCGCTAAAACGAAGGTTTTGGGTTGGGTGAGGATTTTCTTTTGTACAACCCGCCTCTTTTGGGTTGGGTTTGGATTTTGGTTACACAACCCGTAGAACCCGACCCAACCCGTGTTCCAATTATTGGTATGAGTTCAAATCCAAAAAAATATTTATGTCGTATATAGCCATACTTATGAGAAAATTAAGATATTTCGCCATGTTTTTCTCTTAAGGTCCGCCTAATCTAATGCATTCTCCGGCTTAAAATTTAGACATAAATTTAATATAGCTATGATTCACATAATTCTTTTTCTTGTGTACAATTTTAATAGAATAACATATTATGGATGCACTAATTTGTAACCTTTTTAGCATATTTTAACAAATGTCGTGAAAAAACTAGACATAAGTTGAAGTAAATCAAATTTTATTAAAATTCAAACAACAATTGTGAATTTTTGTTTATTCGTTTGAATTTTTAATTAGTTATAAAATATTTTATGGTGTAGAATAATTACATATTTTGGGTTGGGTTAGGTTTTTACTTAAAAATATCGTCAACCCGACCCAACCCAATTAGAAACAAACCGTAGGGTTTAGATTTTTTTGGGTGGGTTTGAGTTTAATATTTCCCAAACCGTAGTACATGGATCGAGTGATTAAAATGTCTAAACCCGGACTATCCGACCCATGTACACTCCTACTCGCTGATGAATCAATCAACCCAAAATCAATATTTTTTTCCCCAAAGTACCACGCCTTCCTCCATAAACTTGTGCACCGTAGCTTTCCACTTCACTAAGTCGTCATCATCATCGTCATCATAGCTTAACTTCTCTACAAGTTTCTTGCTTCTACACTTCCCCTGGCTTCATTTGTTGCTGGCTGCGCCGACAGCGAAGGGGGGGTGAGAACAAAGATGAAGACAGCAAGGGAAGGGCATCGTTTTGTTTTTTTAATTAAAGACGATCCAGACAAATCCATGCAATTAATTTAACGTGATGATGGGAGGGGAGGGTTTTGTTTTACTCTGTGTTTTGTTCTGTCACCATATATATTATTATATATTACGACGGTCCTTGCTTTTGGAGTACTCTGTAAACGGTTGCCGCCGGAGGAGAAAGATAAAAGAAAAGAAGAACCGACGGTGCCACGGTGGTTAGATCAGAAAGAGTTGAACGGCAGAAGACGGCACGTGTACAGCCGATCGGCACAAGGTTTGGCCAGATAGGATGTTCCAGCTCATAGGGATGGCCGCCAGCCAGCCAGCCAATCAATCAATCATCGGGAGGGTTTTGGTTTGTCTGCCTGACCTTATAAAATGGAAGAAAAATGTAACTGAATTGAATTGGGATCGAATTGAATCGAATCAATTGAACATGATATAATTATGGTTCTCAATTTTGTTTTGTTTTTTGTCCAGTCATATCTCGATTCGATTCGGACTAGACCGAATCGTCTGATGCCCACCCTTAATTTGTGGTAAACAATGAGTTAAAATCTAATTGATTACTGTATTTTCATATTTGTTGCGAAATTTACATGAAATTTTGCCTACTTTTGAAGGTTGAGAGGAAACTATTGCCCTACTACCAATGTGGCTCCGACTAAGGGTGTGCAACGGTTTGGTTTTGTCCGGACCAAACTCATGAGAACCGCGGTCCATTAGTGAAAGACATCTTAGGACCAAGAACCAGACCAACATTGTGTTCGGTCCATTTTGGTCCGATTCATTCATATCTAAATATTAGTTCGGTCCATTATTTCTTCAGTCATTATTAAATTCATGTTGATAAAGAACCGGACAACATTATACTCGGTCCGATCCAAACTTCAATTTGATCCGGTCCCGAACCAGTCCATTGCACACCCCTAGCTCCGACACGGGGTGATGGTGCTTTGAAGTTTGAACGAACTCTATCTTTGGATCATATCTAATGGGCCGTTGTAAGTAAGACCCATCCAGACATTTCATTTCATGAATGGATCCGTGATGGGTCGGATCTTGCTGGTTTGCTAACTTATCTTCAACTTCATGAAGGCCCGGCCCAACGCGCACATACTGGGCTAGACATCTATCTGAGTTACAAATCTGCTGCTTCTTTGGGAATGGTCCAAATTCCAGACTCCCATGGGCCATGGCTTGGAAGCACAAGAGTAGTATACAAAGGTCTCAGTAAACTCTAATCAATTTGCTTCATCTCGGCTCCTTTCACTAGAAGTAGTATAACATCCATGAATCTCTCTCAGTAAATTTGAGTTATTGAAACCAATTGGTTTATAATAAAGGATGACTGATGCCTTAGTCAATCTGTTTCACTTTAGATGTTTCATACCCCATTAAGATTACTCTTTCATGTTTGGGTATCGCTTATAAGTAACCATGTCGTTCAATCTCTCTACTAGATTACTCTTCAATGACTTTGATTCCTTTCCAAACTTCAACTCGAGAGTGCCTTTCTTTCACGTAATCTATTTTAGGGTCAGGTAGGTGCCCACCAGACGCCTAACTCAATCACTTATTCTTTCAAGTTCACATTCTTCATAAAACAGAGTAAATCAATCCCCGAAAGTGATCCATCTACCTAACACACTTCTTACCCTCGTTCTAAAAAGTAACTATACGATAAAAAATATTTGAAAAAAAAAACCATTGATTCTGAGCCATCCTACAACAAGACAAAAACTTTTCCATCAAACATACCCACATTTAGAAGTGATCACATGCATATTGCTAAACCTTGGTTAACTAATTCCAAAAGGGTCGTCCCTATCAACTCATAATTATAACCACTAGTTCAAGTCTAACTTCATGGACCACAAACACTTCGAACTTAAAGTATGCTTTGCCATTTTCAGATCTTGATGAACTCCAAACCCATTCCTAACTCAATGACACGTACATGTCTGAGCAAAAGTATTGTAGCATCAGAAGCAACCCAAAACATGACAACTAATAATAATATAATTAATATGTTTGATAAATAGTTTAATAATTATTATTATTGCTGTTTACATATCAGTGGTTGAAGTCAATTGCAAAAGAGTGGGAAGAAAAGGTCGGCTGTAGCTGCTACGTGGCTGCAACCCATGTAGTGATTTGCCACAATTTTGGGAAGCATTGCTTAGCTCTGTTGATCTGTCATATAATTTATTTATATATGTGCCAATATTCATTATAAAAAAATAAATTTTGTTTTGATAACAACTGTTGTGTTCATGAATGTTAAACAGTTCCTTGTATTCTCTATATATAAACAGTTTCTTGCAAGCTCATGCAAAGTACATATATATGTAAACTGAATTATTAAACAGGAAACTGAAGCAAGAAAAAAAAAGCTATATTAATAATGTTTTATTAATCCTTCTCTTGCATGTGTTTGTTGCTCCTAATGCAGTTATGAGGGTGTTTAGGGTTTCACAATCATGATCATGATTTTGTTCTATTTGAAGAAAGTGGAATGAAGAATGATGGAGAATGGAGGATTTACGAGAGTATTTAACAATAATTTGAAAGGTGGTGTGATCGCTAGAACATGATTGCGGATTGTGTACCGAAGTCTTAAACTTTCTATCATCGAACATCGATTTCAGAGAGGTTATACTATATATTCGAACAAATTCCCCAGTGATCATATAAATACACCTTATCAACACAATTGCTCAAAACCCATCCAAAAACCATCTTTCATGATCACACGCCTTATCAATGCAAACGGATGACAACCCACATTCCCGCCTATTCATTTTCTCTGTGTCGGTCGACGCGTATCAAGATGTACTAAGCAATGGATATATGGTATTTTTTTTTTTACATAATCTTCACATAATATAAGGTGTGTTTTGTTGCACCTTCCCAACAAAGGAGCATAGAGAGGGCAAGTCAGCGGCATCTGTATATTAGAATAAAGTTTTCAACTTTTAATGATTGCAAGAGCCAATTACAAAACAGAAGTGTCAAACTCGAGCTAGCTGTTAGATTCCTTAATACCCTTTGCCCTTTAAACTGTAAATAAATAAATCTGTTATGAAGATACGCAGCAATACTTTTTATAATTTTTATTATTAAGGATGTGATTCAAAACTTGGGCAGTAGCTGTTAAAAAGAACAGGACATGTAGCCTTGATCTGATCCTTGCTTGGCGGATGTAAGGGGGAGTGAATTCCCTTGTCCAAGATCTCAATTTTTTTCGAAACGCCTTTTCGATCTCTCTCGATATTGATATACCTTTCGAATAAATGAGATTAATGATAATTTGATCAACTCTTCTCGACATAGATCCCTGATCGAGTAAAG